TTCAGCAGGTACTGAGCCAGTGCTGAGCACTGAAAATGCCTCACTTAAACTTCTTTTTGAAGGGGGTAAGGAGAAGCTAACTGTAGTGCTGCGCTTACTACGATGGTTTGTATATGTAAGCTGCTTCTTCAATTATTTGTTGAAGAGCTGATTACAGAGGTATTTAGGACCACTAGGACTGAGGCTAGAAAGACATAAACTGAACCCACGCTTGCAAATGCAGATCACCCACCACAGCATATGAAGGCATGTAAAAAAAGTAAGCAAGGAAAACTATTTCACGATGTTTTCTTTCCCCTTACTTCAGTTCTAGAACATTCATACTGAGAACATTTTGGTTCCAAAGCATTCAGGGAAGAAACAGGTGGCAACTCTGCTGCCTACATGTCCCCTTACCTGGTACAGTAAAGACTTGATAATCTCCCCCACTGTTTCTAGGCATGCAGTCAAAAGTCCTTAATAGCAGCGAGTCATTACGAGTATATCCCAGAGGGGCTCGGGGCAGTGCAGGGCACAGCAATAAATGTCTACTTTTTAATTTACTTTCATGCACTTCTTTTTCCTTATGCTATTTATCACGTCCCGCTCCATCAATCAAAAAAAGACCAAGTTTTCACCATTAAAAAAAATAATACATTAGCTTTTTTCCAAGATTAAACATTTTGATCATTCTATTTGCACAGCCACTAATTACTACCAGATTACCATGATATTTTAGCTGTATGTAACCAGGCAGCTTACTCACAGCAGGCATATCTTCTGTAATTTCTGAAGGGAGTATCTTGATATTCATGGCAAATAACACACAATAACAAGAACTGCAGCTTGGAAAATCTGTGATAGCAAGCGCATACTTCTTAGGGGGAGCATCAATGCCACTGTTATTTGGAAGATATTGCTTTGGCAGGCAGGCCTTTATAAATATTTAAATATTTCTGTAAAAGGCACTGAAAAAATAAGATTCATTCCCATTTTGCATTTTTTTTGCATTTTTGTTCCCAGCTCCTTGTGGTCAAAATGAAACCAGAGAAGATGGCAAAATAATCCAGCTACCTCCCTGCAAGACAGGAGCATGGATCGTTCCTGCCATCATGGCCTGTTACCTCTTGGTTGCAAACATCCTTTTGGTGAACCTCCTCATTGCTGTTTTCAAGTGAGTGACACATTGCAAAGTATGGACTTGGGAGGGGTGGACATTATTCACATCATAAGAAGGCTGCTAAGCTGAAGACTTTGGCTGAGACCCATTTTCAGAGGATGTGAGGGTAAGAGGGAATTTGTAAATGCCAAGTTCTTCACATTGTCTCATTTCCAAGGACAGACACCTGATGAGAATCAGGGCAGAGAAGCCAAAAAATTTAAAAGTCAATCATGGCAACATTCACTCCCAATATGGAAAACAAGAAAAAAAACACTTTGCTGTCTCTTTGAGCTGTTGTAAGACTTAGTGGTTGTACAGAGCAGACATACCACAGTATTAAGATACTTTGAAATGGGTGATTGCCACCGTACTTTGCTGAAGCACAAACTTACTAATTTCTTTTGGTTTTCTTCCTCTTTTTGTGACAAGGAAACATTTGCCACCATTAGTGAAATGTGTCTAGTTAAGGTGCTTTTACATCGTCTTCAGCAAAGTACCCAAAATGACTCCAATCTTATGTTATTTTCCTCTTCTTGCCTTCTAGCAATACATTTTTTGAAGTCAAATCCATATCCAACCAAGTATGGAAGTTTCAAAGATACCAGCTAATCATGACATTTCACGAAAGACCTGTTCTCCCACCGCCTCTGATCATTTTCAGCCATATGACTATGATATTCCAACACCTCTGCTGCAGATGGCGGAAGCATGAAAGTGACCCAGATGAGAGAGACTACGGATTAAGTAAGCCTTAGACAATTTACGGAGTGGGACTTTCCAATGCCCTTGGCAATATCTAGTGTTTGACATGAATGAAGGCGAAGTCCAGCACCTTGATAACCTTTCCAGCAAAGAACTACTTTTAACTACAAAAATCATACCTGAATTAGTTAGCTTTACCTGCATTGCCCAACTCTTAGTTCTCCTCAGAGTGTTAATGAGGCTATGGTTTTGGGGGATTTCGGGGGGTTGTTCCCCCTTCGTTCCTTCAAGGCAAAGCGGTTTGTTTTACTGTTGCTAGAGGTCTGTTATTGCTGGAATTCTTCTTACAGTCCATCGCTGGAATTCTTCTTACAGTCCATCGCACTTCCAGATCTCAGTTTTATTTCTGAAAATGCAGAAAGAGCGCATTCCTACTTTTTGAGCAAACAGCACGTACTTCCCCCAACACACTTTTTGCCTAGATAAGCTGAGAGATGGTGAGAAGCAATTATTTTGTAGACACACATTCTCTCCTTGACACTGACTCAGACTGAAGGAGTAGTTTCTCCAGACACTTTAATATGAACTCCCATAAGCATGATGGAAAACCTGACAGATTATTTAGATAACACTTTCTCTCCTCTTTTCTATCTAGTTCTTCAAAGTGGAAGATCTCCACTTCCCCCAATGTATATGCCAGAGGCAGGGAGCTAAGGGATGTGCATCTCTTCCCAACACTAGCCCATGCCATAGCCCACTTCTCTATGACATGGGAGCTGGAGCCATGTGATGGCACCGGAGATGCAAGTGCAACCAGTCTGCTTTCCTCCCGCTCGCATCACACTGTCTGCCACAGCCCTCACTGCTGCCTGAAGATATCAGCTCTTGCCATGTCAAATAGACCCTCTGTACTCTCAGACTCCTTTACTAGCAGTCTGCTAATTTGATTATATTTGTATTAGGTTACAGGTGGGCTTTGGCTCCCACCATCTCTCCAGGACCTGACCAGCAGCTGTGTTTAGATCTCATGCAATCAAAACACATTCATGTTTGCTCAGCGTTTGCCTGCTTAAGTGTTTCTGTCTCCAGAATCATATATAATTGCAGCCACTAATTTGGTAATTAGCTGAATTATCTGCTTTCATACCAAAATGCCAGATAAATCTGAAGCCTGCATTTGAAAGTTTAGTCCATGAATTCCACATTAAGAAGAATGTACTTAATTTAATGTGTTAATCTTTGCCAAATTCACACTTTTTCCATTGTTTCCACAGAACTTTTCATAACTGAGGATGAATTGAAAAAAGTCCATGATTTTGAAGAGCAGTGCATAGAAGAATATTTTAGAGAAAAGGATGACAGATTCAATTCCTCCAATGATGAAAGAATCCGTGTCACTTCAGAAAGGTGCACTTTTTTTGTTTGTTCTCTCATAAGTTGATCTGGAAATGTGTTTCTGTTGCCATTCTCACCCTTCCTTTCTTTTTCTTGAAAAGGGAAACATTTGAGGTATTTTTTAATAAGTCTTATCTAAAAAGTAGAGTGATAAAAGGGGGTGAATTTCTTTTCTCTCTTTGCCTTTTTTGCTCAAGCAAATGTTCCTCAAAGTTTTGAAAACATGAATCTTTTCACATTGTATTACTTGTATGAGAACACAACTGACATAGTGAGAAACAAATTTTCCTTGCATGTCAGTTCTTAAAGCAGAACTTTAAGGGTACAAGTGGTCAGAACACAAGGGGAGGGTAAACGAGAGTTCCTCAATGAAAAGTACGGCTTAAGCACTGACCTGCTAGCCATTCAGATAAAGGGCGAGACTTGTTTCAGGACGGCCTTACTAGGTAATCTCATTTCACTGAGAGCAACAGGGATCTTGCCATTAATTTAAAAGGAACTAGACATTTCACCTACAGCAATAAAATGCACAGAGGACAAAGGTAATATGTTAATTTAGTGGAAGTTGCCAGGCTTCAAATTTTTCAGTCCTAAAAATTCATAAATCTGTTCATCTGCTGTGGTACTTATATGCTTTCATCACACAGCAGCTAGGCAACAGAGTTAAATTTTGAAGACAGTTTGTTGTTTGATTTGTAGCACTGTTACCAATAAATATTTTAGGGCAATATCCTGTCAGATATTCATAAAACCTATGAACCGCTGAATACTCCATTCCCTGAATACTCCACTTTAACTTGAATAACAGAGGTCAGTTGAGTTGTCATCGTAATCGATTACACAGATATAACACTCTTCTCCTTACACATAATCTTCTAGCACTGCCCCTGATGCAGCTACGCCTAAAATATGTTTTCTGTAGGCAAGGAAACACACTTTTAATTTGGTTTTGAAATAAATCTACCCCAGAGCAGGATTAGCAGATATAATACCCTTTAATCATCTGCATTACTAAAAACAGCACTCCTAAAGCACGTATTTTAGAAAAGGATATTAGAGGGGAAGTACGGTAAGGCATGGAATGGCTTCCTTATAAAGAATGACCAAGTAATCCAGCTCTACTTGGTCTGGAAGAGACAAATGAGGAATGAAATGATAGAGGTCTATATAATTATGAGTGCAAAGAGAGCATGAGTAGAAATCAATTGTTTGCTGTCTCTCCCAGAATAAGATACAGGGAAGCAACAGATTAATCTAGCAGGAGCCCAGGTTCAAAATAAACGAAAATAAGTTATTTTTTTCATGCAGTAAGTAGTGAAACAGAGAAAATTCTTGAAAGATGATGAGGTCTAACAGAAGCTGATGATGTCAGCTAAAAGTCCACATGGGTTCAAACAGAGACTAGACAAGCTTATGGAAGAGAAATCCAGTTAGGACTGCTAAATACATAGAGATCATACTGAGCCGATGAAATTCCTGAGCAGAAAATGTTTAGAGACTGAAGAATATAAGGGTGGAAGAATTACATACGCTTCAAAGTAAGACAGTGAGCTAAATTGATCTGTGGCCCAACTGAGTGCCTTTTGTTCTTGTGTTCTGATGGTCCAGTGGTCAGAGAAATAACCTGAAAATCATAGATGCAGGTTCAAATCTCTGTTCAGGCACAGCTTTCCTTTTGGTGGCCAAGGAAAGAAGAGGTATGCTTGAAGCCTCTGTAAATAAGAAGCTAAATAATAAATCTAGCTGGGACCTCTCCTACGTTAGGAAAGTGCTCTAAGTCCTTGGAAATTAATACATAACAGTCTGCCTTTGCACTCTATGCTGGCCCTGTTTTATAGGAAAATAGCCCTTACCTCTATTTTAAATAAACCACTTAAAGTACCTCGTTCCAGAAGAGAGTTCATGATTATGAATCCCAAATGAAGACAAGCACCTGAGCCCCACAGAGAAATAGTTCTTTAAAAATCTGTTTACCTTAGCCAACAGTGTAATGTGGAAAGCAGCATAACCCAGCTCTGTAAGGGAGACCCAGGCAGCGACCCCATGGGGTACAGAGGCCACTCCCGGGCACAAGCACAGAATCACAGAATTAGAGAACCACAGAATCACAGGATGGTCAGGGTTGGAAGGGCCCTCTGGAGATCATCTAGTCCAACCCCCTCACCAGAGCAGGGTCACCTACAGCAGGTTGCACAGGACAGCGTCCAGGTGGGTTTTGAATGTCTCCAGAGTGGGAGACTCCACCACCTCTCTGGGCAGCCTGTTCCAGTGCTCCACTACCCTCAAGGTAAAGAAGTTCCTCCTCATGCTAAGATGGAACTTCCTATGTTCAAGTTTGTGCCTGTTACCCCTCGTCCTATCACTGGGCACCACTGAAAAAAGATTGTTCCCATCCCCGTGGTACCCTCCCTTTAAGTGTTTGTAAGTATTAATAAGATCCCCCCTCGATCTTCTTTTCTCTAGACTAAAAAGACCCGAGTCCCTCAGCCTTTCCTCATATGAGAGATGTTCTAATCCCCTAATCATCTTTGTAGCCCTTTGCTGGACCCTCTCCAGCAGATCCCTGTCTTTCTTGAACTGGGGAGCCCAGAACTGGACACATTACTCCAGATGTGGCCTCACCAGGGCAGGGTAGAGGGGGAGGATGACCTCCCTCGACCTACTGGCCACACTCTTCTTGATGCACCCCAGGATGCCATTCGCCTTCTTGGCCTCCAGGGCACATTGCTGATTCATGGTGATCCTGTTGTCCACCAGGACTCCCAGGTCCCTTTCCACAGACTTGCAGCAATGAAATCCCAGGTGAATGCAGTTCTCATCTCATAATAGCTCTCTTCTCTCCTTGCCAAACCAACTGCAGTGCTCTACCACACAAGGCAATGCAAATACTTCAAAGATCCAAGGAATGCTTTAAAGATGTTTGAGGAATCAGGGATATCTAAGTATCTTAAATAACACACATTTTAAAAACTAGATGCCCAGGTCTATCATTTTGCCTGCAATTATGGCCAGGGAAGTGTCCCTTGAAGTGTTCTTAATCTAAAACACAAAACTTCTTTTTTCTAGCCTGTGGAACATTCAAATATTTAAATTCCAGATTTGCACTTTATACTTTCTACATAGAGATATCTTTGTACAATTAATAAGACGTAAAGCGAAGAAAGCAGAGAAGATGCAAGACTACACAGTTTCTCTTCCAATGTCCAGTCATGTAGTAGTAGACCAAGCACAATACCTACATTATAGCTATGAGATATCAGCTTAACCATCTATCCAATTAACTCAGCTTTACACGCTGTAAAATTGAACCAGAAAACCCTGCAAATGTGAGTGAAGTTCCCCACGAAGGCCTTACATTTGCAGGAAGCTGAGGATGCTGTTAAGGTCAAGGAGAAGAAAGGGCTGGGGACAAGCCCTGTGTAACGTACCTGCACTTGGACCTGGACTGCTCACTGACTTCCCTCTCCACCGCGCATCTGTAATATGCTCACCTCTTGCTTGAGCAGCTCTTACTTGCAGCTGGATTTATCGGAGTGATGCAGGTTCTGCTTGGAGGAAGAACAGCTGCATGCCATAGGTGTGAAGCCCAGTACGCCTGGAAGAGAGAGTACAGGGCTACCACTGGGAAGGAAATGGGAGGTGGGAACAGAATCTTGCTGTGAGGCTCAGCCTAGATGGGTCCCAGAGGCAGGTTAGGAGGTTGGAAAAACAAAGCAACGAGAGATCCTGTTTCTTGCTGCATTGACTTGGGTGTAAATGAATTATTTCAGCTAAGTGGTCAGTGGCCATGTTGGGTCAGGACCACAGCATCTTGTCTAACCCTCCTACAACAAGCTGTAGTTTATACTCTCATGTTGGAACAGTCCACCCTGGCATCCTTTGGGTCTGTCTTGCTTCAGCAATCACCTTACTTCTCTTGTAACAAAGAACACCATGGAGGTGTCCAGATTTGGTATCACCACACAGAATCTCTCCTTTACCTGATCCTTTCACATTCAGAAATTAAAGCATGAAAATGACACGATGTTTGTCCTTCCCTGACCCCAGGTACTAAGCAACTTGCAGGAGTAGTTCAGAAGCTAGGATCTCACAAAGGCACATGGAAGCAGCAGCAGATTGGTGATATACATCAGAGGAAGTGACTGACTAGGCAGAAAAATACAAAGTGGTACAAAGCTGTAAGGTGTCTCCCTTAACTGCATTTATCAGCTGAGGCACATCTTGGTGGATCTCCTGGAGACCAGTGATGAAAGCAAAATGGGACAAATTCACTTCATTGCAGAAGAAGAATCACAACTTTTCCTGGAAAGCCTTCCTTTCTAATCATGGTGAAACTTTCAGTGGCACATTTTGACCAGCACAGAGACATGTATAATATGATAAAAAAAGACCGCACTATTTTTCTTGATCTGGCATGAAGCCACTGAGACAGTCTCTTCAGTAGGCATTTATCCATATGGACAGGTCTTAACTATTTCAAACCCAATGCAAAACCTCTTGTTGATTCCAAGGGGAGCCAGGCCACGTCCTAACAGTATTTAAAAAGCAGATAAGCTGGTTGAAGTAGTTGTTATTATGTCATCTTTGGTACTATATGGTGTCCATTACTACAGCACTATAGTCTGCAGTGCAATTTCACTAACAGCATCCGTGCAAATGAAGACATAGTTATTATCTTGATTTGAGAGATGGCAGGCTGAAGTGCGCATAAGTAGGTTAGGGTTGGTAAAAAGGCCTCTGCTGAGCCCAGGAGATCCAGCCATACATGCAGAGTGGCAGTAGGAAAGGTCTATGAATCCGGCAGCATCTCTCTGTGGTCACAAAGAGTTAAGTGGTCTTAGGCTCCAGATGGGAACGCAGCCAGGACAACCCAATGTCCTTAGCCTGCAGAAACCACCGCACCTGGGAAAATTGGCTGGCCCCTTGCATCAGCAATGCTTTACCAAGAGATGTCAGGCAAAGCACCAATAGCCAGTTACAGGCTTGGGAACTGCTGTCTATGTTTTATTTAAATAAAACCATTTTACAGGCACCTATAACAAGCAGGGTGGATACCCCTGTAAGTGACTTTCAGTGTCTACAGCCTTTCTAGTAGTTGAAATGGATTTTGAGTATAAATGATGCCTTAAAAATGGACATAGTTCAACAAAGGGACTTGTGATGCTAATTCCAGCATTCAATTATGACACCTGCTTCTGAAAGGAGTGCCTTACTCCCATTAAATCATTACTTCAATTAAATTATTGACAAACTGATGTGCAAAGGTTAAAAATAAATATAACTAAAATGAATGCCAGCAAGAGCTATCATCTCCCAAACCATAATTAAACAGGCTTGTCATAGGTAATACAAATTCTTTGCCAGGTTCCCAGTTCTGACCTTTTCTTTTTTTCCTGGTTACTGAATAAAAATACTTCATGCACATTTTACATGTATCCTCCTCCTTTTCTGTTCTCATTCCCATCTGTTAGGATGGCTTGGCACCTTCTCATACATTGGATAAATCTTGCTGTAAGGAAATGCACAGGTGCGATGGAGGCATCATACATGGATATTGTGAGATTTGCCAAAAGGTTTATACTATCCCCAATACACATGGGGAGAAAAAAAACAAAGCAAAACTTGGGCATTCTTATTTTGAAGTAGTGTACTAATTCAAAACTGTTCCTGAAGGAAATATAGCTCTAGTTGCCTATTCTCTGAGTGCAAGATCATCCAACAATATGGGAAAATTGAAAATTTCACTTATTAAAACATTTTAAAGACAAAATTATAACTGTATTTCTCTTACATCTACAGTGTTTGGCTGATGTAACTTTATCATATTTCTCGTAGGATTACTCCCAGAGCATGGTACTGTTCTGTGTGATGAATGATTGCAGAACTGAACATCAAATTAATATAAGAGAATATCACTAATTAAAAGAATAAATATTTGTTAAAAAATCTGGGAGTGGCCATATGCAATATGTATAATAACAGGTGACTAAATTCAGCTAATAGCTTTGAGTTTGGAGGAGATAATCATCACTCAAGCTTTCCAGTGTAAATACATGTCTGTACTTCTCAGTTATCTATGCACATACATGTCTGGTTATCCCTGGTTTCTGAACCTATACTGCACTAACCTTATCTTGTTGAGTGTCTATATAAATTTCCCAGTACTATCAATGCAATCCCATCTCTGATTACTTCCATAGCAACCAACAGACCATGTAACTCAAAAGTCTGTCTTCATCTTGGCCAGCAATACCACCAGCCTTACACTCTGTGCCTCTCACGGTAGCTAATAGATCATGTTCAGGGAAGGCAGGACAAATATATGAACGTGTCCCAGCAAGGTATGACTCTAGGTTCTCCTTAGGATGTGTAAGTTGGGCTCAGTAGCATTGCATAGCCCCCACGCGAATGCAGGATGCAAAACTTATCTCACTATGGACAGTTCTACTCATATTCCTGATATAAATATGTAAATTAAGTGCAATAATTCAACTGGCTATGCTTGCATTAAAAATTTGTGTACATCTCTCAAAATAAGCAAGCAAAAAAAAAAAAAAAATCATTCCAGTTTTTGAGTAACTCTTGCTGGGGTGAACGTTTTCTGTTGGTCATAATCTGGGCATTCATCAAGTAAAATCCAGGAAGTTTCTCAAATTGTTCCATATATTTGACAGTCCTAAAATTGTGATGTTGTATCTGTTCATCATCTTGGAGCAGTTGTTTCAGAACTTGAATATGTGACGAGGCACTCAATTATTAGCTGATAAATATTTCAAAAGTGTAATTGCTTTTATAAAATAGCAGTTCAGATAAGTAATAACATGAGGGAAAATTCAGCTGCTTCCCATATAAACTGCTCTCTCATTATGGAATTATATCCTGTGCTTGCAAAAAACGTTAATCTCTTTTGTTGGAGAAGTTGGTAGAACTAGAGGTAGACTGGTGCCTAAATGATAATGAGTAGAATGAGATTCTTCAAAACTACCAGTTCATTTCTTAGTGGTGATTACTTGATCATTCATGTATTGAAGTCTTATGACAGAAATGCAGTTACTGCTTCACATTTGATTTGCTGTGTTTGTGCTTTCAAAGCTCACAGTCTTCAACAGAAAAAGCCCATGTTTCACAGGAATGTGAGACTTGCTGTCGCGAGTGGTGTCACACTCCTCCCTCCTCTCCTGTGCAGGCGTGTTGCTCTTGCTCATCACCACAAGGTAGTCAGACCTCAGCGTTTCACCAGCTGGAGTTCTTTGCATTAATTAACAAGGCATTAATGCCGCCCAATTCATTGCTAAAATCTGGCTTCCCTCTGGGCAAGTAAGAGTGTTCATGGTGTTGCCAGTTCCAGGTCACTCGTCCTGTTGGAGATTCAACTAGCAGTAGTTGAAGATGATATTTATCTCATCAGAAATCCTGGCTACGATTGACAGGGTGCCTATTAACATCTCAGTATGAATTGCACTAACAGGCAGAGAGTAAGATACTTGTGAAGAGAAAAGTGTGGAAATCCTGCGATTTGGTATTTGTCACTTCTCTGCTCATTTCTCAGCGTCCACAGGAATGGGAAAAAACAGAATTGTAATGTTAAAAACCAGACAAAGATAACTATATAAATGTGTTGCTTTTAATACTTCTTTGGCAGACAATGGAGTCCCTGGGCTACCCTAGGGACTACAACTAGAGAAAATAGTTATGAGAAGAAATTTCATATGTGCTAAAGGCAATTTCATTGTGTAAAATTAGAGGACTTCATATGAATCCTTCAGTAGACATGTTTTAGAAGCCAGAAAATTGGAATATTTGAAAGCCATAGGCATAAATTAGTACACAATTCACTTAAAGTTGAAAACGTTTTAAAATAAGACAAATCAACAGTGTAGAACAGATATACTGAAGTTTAAATTAGTATTGCACATTCAATTATTACCTATTGATACTTTAATCTAACTTTTATTTATATAATATGATAGGTAGCTAATAAATAACTTTAAAATCCATCATTTCAATCGCTAAACTATTAACACAGATGGCCCAAAATGCAATCACAGTAATGCAGCAAACTTAATGTGTGTACCCTATTGTAGGCTGTATTTGGTTTGATCAGTGTTCTCCTCCCTGCAGTTTTCATGCATACTTTACTTCATGTTACCTACATTCAATACAATAGCTAATACATTTTTTTTCTATATATCTGAGCTAAAAATTAATCAGAGAAGAAAGAAACTATCTCTTTAGGTCTACACACAGCACTAGCTGGTGTAAATCTGGTGCAAACACCAGAAAAAAAATAGGATGTTACCCTCCTTCTATGGCATATTGCCCACTTTTCATTCCTTCATTAAGTTCTGCAGTTAACGGTGGTGGTCCTGCCTCTGGCACAACTGGGGACAATGTCATGTGGCATCTGCTCTAAGTATTACTCATTCATAACAACCTGATTAGAAGCTTTGGCAGCACAGAGGCAGCAGATCATAGTAACATTTCCGTAATAACCCCTGTCCCTGGGATAGGGCACACCCAAACCCCTATCTACATTAACACAGCCTAGTTATTAACTAGCTTAACATTAACTAACACCCCTAGTTTAACCCACTGGAGCAGTTTCCTGAGTGAGTGGTGTTTGTTTGCTGAACCTCTTTTAGCAGGGTTTTGAAGCAGATGAGGTGGTGTAGATTGGCTTTGAATTTTAAGACCTAATTGTTCCTGTTTGTTTCGGTGACCTATTAGTTGAATATTACTGCTTTGTAGAAATTAATCTGTTTAATTCTTCCCCTTTTTAAGGGTAGAGAACATGGCCATGAGACTGGAAGAAGTAAATGAGCGAGAGCACTGCATGAAGGCCTCTCTGCAGACTGTTGACATCAGGCTTGCTCAGCTGGAAGATATGATGGGACGGATGGTTACCGCCCTGGAAAAACTGACGGGCATAGAGAGAGGTGAGACGACCAAGATACGATCCAGGACCTCATCCGACTGTACTGATGCAGCCTACATTGTGAGGCAGAGTAGCTTCAACAGTCAGGAAGGAAATACTTACAAGCTTCAAGAGAGCATAGATCCCACGGGAGAGGAGTCCATGTCCCCAACGTCTCCTACAATCACGCCCCGCATGCGAAGCCACTCTTTCTATGCAACAAATATGAAGGACAAGTGTGGTTTGGAAAAGTTTGAAAGCATTTTTAAGGAAAGATCTCCCAGCCTGCATAGGGCTATCAGTTCCCACTCAATAGCAAAAGAAGGAAAGGTTCCCTTAGCCCCTACCAGCACTTTGTCAATTGCCCCAGACTCCAGAAGGCCTTCGTCTTGTATAGACATCTACGTTTCTGCCATGGATGAGATGCATTCTGACACAGAGCCTCTCGACAGCTCCATAAATATTCTTGGTACCGGAGATGCAGCTCTGCAGGCTCACATAGCCTCTTCCATTTTAGCTAACAGTGCGTACATTAGCACTACACCTGGCGAAAAAATTTCTGGCAGGAGTCTTGATTACGAGGAAACCTCTGGAATAGAAACAAGAGCATTTTCTTCAGACTATTCACAAATCACAGATTGCCAAATCCCCTGGGATTCAGACCCTCCCTTGTATCACACTTTAGAGCGATCTAAAAGCAGTCGTTATCTGGCTACGACTCCATTTATTCTGGAGGAAACGCCAATTGTGAAATCTCACAGTTTTATGTTCTCTCCATCTCGAAGCTACTTCAGCAGCCTTGGCGTCCCAGTCAAAACAGCAGAGTACACAAGCATTACGGACTGCATAGACACAAGGTGTGTGAGCGCTCCCCAGGCCATTGCAGAGAGGGCCAGTTTCCCTGGAAGTCTTGGGGGCAAAGTGGAAGACTTAGGATGCTGCCACCCAGAAAGAGAAGCTGAACTAAGCCACCCAAGCTCTGATCATGAGGATATTGAGGCCAAAGACAAGAAGGGGATCCCCTTATCTCCTCAAGACAGCAATGCTACGAGAACTCTGGCCAACAGCATCCCACTTCCAAAAATAGAGCGGGCCAACAGCTACTCTGCAGAGGAGTCCAACATGTTGTATGCACAGCACACGCGGAAGAGCTACTCTATCAGCGACAAACTTGACAGGCAGCGAAACACAACAGGCCTGCGAAACCCCTTCCAGAGGAGTAAGTCCTCGCGACCAGAGAGCAGAGGGGACAACCTGTCCATGAGGAGACTGTCAAGAACAGGAGCCTTCCGCAGCTTTGAAAGCAAGCACAGCTAGGCCTAGACAAAGCTCACCGGCAGTCTAAGGGTCATCCGCTCTCCAGTCCATTTTTCTTAGCAGAATTTAAAAAAAAAAAAACTCACGTCACCCCGTGTCAACTCCAGTTGGCATTCGCCACCGGTCAAGGGAGCACTTTGTCAGTCTCAGCATCGCCCACTGAGTTACTGCATCTTGACCCAGTTGACATTTGCACTTAAGGAAAAAGGGAGGGATGAAAGCTTTACAAAGACTTCAGTAAACAACAGGAATAACAAGCCCCCTTTATGAAGTCACAAGAAATAAATGAGTAGGTTCAGAAATCTGCCTTTTATTAGAAGGCATCCTAAGATCTTTGATCATTATTCAAGTTTTTAGGATGCAGAAATTAACTGGCAAAAAGAGATGTACAAATTAGATGTTCTAAACTTCAATCACGACTTCTTTTTCATCTGTTTCACCGTTGTGATGACTGATGAAAAGCATTTGTTATTTCTGTAGGAACTGGCAGCAAACAACCTAAAGTCTCCCAAATCCCTTGCATCCCACACTTGTGGAAATGAAGAAAGATGAACAAGATAACAACCATAACGTTCACTTGTCTCTTTTTGTATCAACTTCTAGTGCCACGAAAAGTTTATATTTTCAAGAGCAGAAAGGGAAATGAAATGCCTTTTGTACTGCAACTTAAATGGAGGAAGAATTTATCTTAAAATATCAGGTGATTTCCTGTATAAAACAGGCATTCTAGATTCTAGCACAGCTGAGCAAGCTCAGGATGAATGTAATTAAGCGGAATAGTATATATTTATTTTTTTACCACATTTGTCATCAGTATGTTGTCTCACTAAATCAGAGGATGTGATGGAACAGTAAGAACAGGGTGATCAGAGCAGAGCACAGTAATATTGTCGGGTTCTCACTGATCCACTTAATTACATATACAAATTGGGGAGATTTATCCACCAGGCTGCTACCAGGCTCTTCTTGCTGTTCCATATGAGCTGTCAATTTTTCACATCACCTAAAAATATACAACTTTTTTTTTTTTTTTCATGAGGACATGGCCATATTTGAACATGTCAAAGTACACAAGCTTTATCAAGCAGTCTGAATCCAGATTAATGCAATTAGACTGAAGTTGCTTAAGGGAAAATGTTCTTGGCAGAGGACTGGGAAACACTAAAACGTGTACATGCTTTTAAGGTAAGTTAAAGAACCAAAGTGAAACTGTAGGTGTCTTTAAACAGCAAAAGCCATCAGTTGCAACTAGGCTTCCACCGTTCAGCAGCATATCACACAACGTGCATTTTAGTAGGAGAAGGTATACCTGAATGGTAGAGCAGTTATGGGTTTTGGTCGAAGACAGTCCTAACTCCACTGACCCCACCCTTGTTCCAAGGGTCACAATGTCAACCAGAGGTTCAAACTTCTCACGAGAAGATATCACAGTGGTCACAGGTGGAAGGGTATGCAGAAGATAGGAAAAGGGTGGAGAAGCATAAACTGCAACTGGATCAAAGTTTCACATCCTTTCTGAAGGCACAACTTTTAAGCTTGTAAAGAGTTGAAGCTAGTGCTATTAAAAATTAAAACATCTCTACAATGACCAACATCTGTGTAGAACCAGCTCCTTTTTGTTATTAAAAACGAACACATGTGAGTGGGGTACGTACTTCCCATTATTTAAATGGGAATTATCTTCCAAATCTCTAAGGCAGCTTTGAAAATGCAGGCTGACATTTTCTCACTGGGATCTCACCCTGGGAGGCTCTGAGCACTGTATGAGAGCTAAGTCTGAAAGGCAACAAATCCAGACATAAAAATAATCATCAGCCTCAAGAAAAGAGGCAAAGAAGGTGAAAACCTTTAGGTACTGAGTCACTACGTTGGAAAGTTCAGGAAATAAAGAAATGCAGCATGGGGACTTTAAGCACAATGTGTTTCCTACTTCCTGCACCAACGTGTTCCTTGCGTTCTTCTATTTGATCAGGCTTTCAATGAGCTAAACTCCACCAAGACACCACGTTTATGCAATTGCCTTGCTGTCCATGTGCAGCGTTACGGTCACATGGCAACACCGAGAAAGGTCAGAAACCTTTCTGTGCATTATGAAGCATGCTTGTGACAGGCTGATTGTTGAACATCAGCAAAACGCCCAGGGGCAAAGGAACTTGTGTTTAACAATCTGCTTCAAATGTGCCAACTTTTGTTAGCAGCCTTTTCCTAAGGCTTCTCCAAATCTATCTATCCTTGGTGAGTAGAGGGGGATATTCTCACTTTGTTTTCTTTGTTACTTTTACGAATGTCTGCTAAAACTGTTTGTGGACTCTTCCACCTTCACCGTATTACTGACCTACTCTAGAGGAACTTCAGATTCATTAGAAATTCCTCAACAGCGCTTAGTGAATTAGTTCAAGGCATAGGGCTCTCCTCTGGGGTAGATTTCATCTCTTAGTTTGTCAGGGTAAAGGAATTTGCCAAACCCAGAAGCTGTATAAATGTTTAGGATACAGCACTTTATTGATCTGGAGCACAAATTCCAGGTAAAATGAAACAGGACACTTTATTTACCTCTTAAAATTTGCCATTATATATAAAATGTAAATTCAGATGTTAAAAGTGTGATTGCAAGATGTCAGAACGCTACTTTTCCTGAATGTTTCCCATTTATTCTACAATGTGGTGTCTATAGAATATATTATGATGGATGTTAGATTATTTTATCTTCACCTGGTTTTTACACATTGCATCAAACTGCTCCTTTTTGAATCTGATGGTAAAACACCCATTCCTCGCAATGGGACCAGATTTCCCACTCCCGATATTATTATGACCATTTAGTGAGAGTAGAAGTCTTATCATCCATCATCATGTAGCTATAGCATGTGCCATATGACATATTCTGTATCAAATGATAGCTTATGAAATAGATATATATACACACATATATACATATCTCCCATAGATAAACCAGTATAGTTGTGACATGTGGTAATATTAGTGAAGGTTACAGGACAGTTTTAATATTACATTATAAGGTCTTGTTTGTAAATCTGTAACATTCAATAAAATAGCACATGTTGCATCGAGCATTAAGTTCCACTATCCAATTATTAGCTTACATATGGAATATGCATTTCTGGTCACAGTGTGTAAGTTTGGTATGTTGCACACATTTCTCTGTATAGCTCCACTTAAATGTCTGTATGAGCTGATGTATAAACCTCTAATGAGCCACTGTGGGCTGTGACAGGTGAGTTGTGATAGTGTGAAAGATGAACTGGCATGTTATGCAAAAGATTATAAGATAAATGAACTTTAATAATATTTTGAAACTCAACTGAACTTAGCTGTTTGTTTACATATGCTGGCCGACTGAGGAAGCGGTGTACAGTATTTTATAAATATTTTCCTATAGTAATCCATTCTGTTGTTTCCAGTTTAAGTGATGCTATTCTACAGTTGGGGTATACACTTGTCCTAGGTATTGGATTATAGCACATTATTCTTTCACGATAACAGTGGGATATGACTGAAGTAGTTCTCTTCCTTACAGTCCAGTCTTTTTTTGTGTCAACAAAAATGCATGCATTGTTCCATGAGTTTCTTTGGACTACTATGAGACTTAACATTTTGCTATTGCCTGCCTGTAAAGATGAATCCAGTTAGGAATGAATTCAAGATTTTGGATGTTTACATTATTTCCATTATGTTTGATCTTTAGCAAAGTAAGTGATTTTTTTATTATTTTTAAATGACAATTGTATTTTATGAAATTGAAATACTCAACACAAAATGCGAACCTACAGCAGTGCTCAGACATTTGGCTCTCTCTTTTTTTGGAAGAGATAAGGTGCTACATTATTGTTCTTAGCACAAGTGCCAGTTAACAAATGGCAGTGAGGGGATAATTTGAAAATATAATGAAGAACCAAAACATCCATTCATCCACATAAGGAAATCCCTCTGGGTTCCAGTTATAGATTGCTTTTTTTTTTCATTTTCCATTTATAGATCTTTTGGTAAAAAAAAAAAAAAAAATTATTTGTACCTTTTGTGGAATGGATAGCCTTTTGTCAGGGGATAAATATCTTAGTTAGGTATATTTTTTGTATGAGAAGAAAACGATTTGTTTCTTAGAAACTGTCAGCGCATGGAAAACGCAACTACACAAATAACTGCTCAAAAAAAGTGCTGGTAGCAGCACACAGCCTTAGTCCAATGACTGCAGTCAGAGCAAACAAGTACCTGTCCTGAGAGCAGAAGTTATCAAAGGTATTAGCTTAGAGTGAGCCAGTGAAACAAAATTCTCTGTAAATTCATGGTGCAAATTTTCAAAACAAGCATAAATGTCTTGTTATGTTGCTCAGGTTATATACTTAAGAGGATCTGATAATCACCAGAAGGCAAAATGTGAGCTGGTTATTCCTGGATTTCCCTAGGAATACTTAAGTAGTTGTGATGTCTCCCCCCTGCTTAAAAATAATAGTATATTTGCATTTTTGCACAAATATGCACAATTGTTTCAACAAAGGCCACATTTTCAGTTTTGTTAAAAGATACTAGGTATAGGTCACCTTCTTCAAAAGAAATGGGAAAGCTTCCTAGCATGAATTTTCCCTCATCCACCTCAAATTATCAGCACAGTCCAAAGTGGGCATTGGGGGGGGGAGGGTGTCTGCTTACCTAATGAAACCCTTCATTCTTCTAGATGGTATTCACTGGCCTTGCCACACGCGGGCATAAAAGCAGTAGTGCTGAAAGTGGAGGGACTGAGTTTCTGCGTCCCAGTGAGAGCTGTCCTGCTTTACAGCCAGTCCCAGGGTGAACACTACAGGTCTCACAGGCTTCTCTTCTCCGAGATTGACTACGATTACGGTCTTACTGATGCTGGTGAAAAGCTGCAGAAAATCCACTGATTTCAACGGAGTACTCTGACTTTTGTTAGAGGATGGATTTATTCTGCGTTTCTAACTCTGTATCACTTTGAGTCATGGCACAGATTATCCTAAATCATC